AACAGGTTTAATGAACTGAGTTGTCTGTTTAGGTTGCATGTTTATGAGAAAATGGGTTGTGGGATAAAAGGACCTACAATTCACTGAAAGCAATATTTAATTCTTTACATTGTTTGAAGTGGTAAACTGAACTTCTTTCAGCATTTGTCAAATATGAAGCTGTTGGCATCAAGTCAATGGACTATTTCCAGTTTTCCAAAACTTCCTGTCATCAACCTTATTATTCATTCGTTGTATGTGGGTATCTTTAGCTGAGCCAGCATTTTATTGCCTGTCCCTAATTGCCCTGGAGAAGGTGGTGCTGAGCTGCTTTCTTGAACTGCTGTGGTTCGTGTGTTGTAGGAACACCCACAATGCAGTAGGGAAGGAATTCCAGGATTTTGATCCAAAGACACTGAAGAAGCAGTGATGTGTTTTCAAATCAGGTTGGCGAGTGGCTCAGAGTGGAACTTGCAGTTGGTGGTTTTCCATATCTGCTGCATTTTTCCTAATAGATGACAGTGGTCATGGATTTGGAAGGCACTCTAAGGATCTTTGGCAAATTTCTTTGGGGCATTTGTCGATAACGCACAATGTTACTGAGCGTTCGTGGTGGAGGGACTGAATGTTTATGGATGTGGTGCGAATCTGATAGGCTGCTTTGTCCTGGATGGTGTCAACTTTCTTGAGTGTTGGTGGAGCTGTATTTGCCCAGACAGTTTTTAGGGAATATTCCATCACTCCTGACATGTGCCTTGTAGACTGTTACTCGCTGCAGTATTCCTAGCCTCTGACCTGCTCTTGTAGCATCTGTATTTATGTGGTAAGTTCAGTTCAGTTCCTGGTCAATGGTAACCCCCAGGATGTTGATAGTGGGGGACTAAGTGATGGGTAACGCGATTGAATGTCAAGGGCACGGGTTAGTTTGTCTCTTAATGGAGATGGTCATTGCCTTCCATTTATGTGGCACATATTTCCTGTCACTTTCCAGCCCAACCTGGATATTATCCAGGTCTTGCTGCATTTGGACATATACTGTTTCAGTATCTGAGGAGTTGTGAGTGGTGCTGAACATTCACACTTCTGAACTTTTATAATGGATTATACGTTGTATTATATTGTTTCAGAATTTTTCACCTCTTGAGATATAATGATACTGACCAGGTCTCATTTATTGCTTGTAGTCATTTTCCTTGAGGTTCACAGTTGATTCCTGTACAACTGCAGTTTTGATGTAATGGTGCTTCTCCAGTGGCAGTGGTTATCAAAATTCTGGCATGTTGTACCTGTGCCAAGTGGTGGTACATGTCAAATAAGAGTGGTGTATGATTTGGAAGGGAACTTGGAGGTGATTGTGTGTTGTTAACAATATTGTTTCTTATGTATCTTTTGGTATTGGAAGTTGCAAAGGAAAACGGAGATGGCCAGGTAACTAAGTTTTTTTGAATTTTTTTTCTTCCATGTGATATGTACCATACTGCAGTAACAGAGTAAATATGATATAGTGAGTTTTTTAGCAAACAAAATTGTTCTATCCTGGATTATGTAAAGTTTAATGAATTTTGTGTTATGACAGCACCCACTCAGGTGAATAATGAACTTGTATCATACTGTGACGTAAATTGAAGTGCCTTAAGAGATTTAGAGGTAGGACACTCATTGCAGAACACTCGTCTTTGCCCTGTTTCTGTAGTGTTGTTATTGGTCACTTGTTCTTGCTTGCTGTTAGAATTCAGGGAGAGGTAGCTGGTCTTGTTTTTCAGATGGCTATTGCATAGCATTTATGTGGTGTAAATGTTGTTTTCTGTCTATTGGCTCAAGCCTGACATTCACACCCTGCTGCAAGCTGATATGGGTTAGCTAACTATCAGACAATGTGCACAGCATATCGCAAAGTTGTTAGCAGAAGTCCAATTCTTAATATTTATGATTGAAAGACTGCTGGAAATATGTTGGATCTTTGTACCAAGGACATTTCATGAAGGAACTCCTACAGCAAGGTCTGGAGCAGTAATGATTGGCCTCCAACTACACTCATCACACTTTTGACAGGAATGACTCCAGTCACTGGAGTTTTCTTTTGACTCAGTTGACCTTATTTTTGCTTGGACTGCTTTATGCCAGACTTGGTTAAGTGTTGTCTGGATGTTAAGGTTAGGTACTCTCTCCTCCTTGTGTTATTCAATTCTTGTGTCTTGTGGCCATATCTGGATCAAGTCTGGGATGAAGTCTGGAACTAAATAAATTTAACTGAATCTTAAGTGTTGGTGAACAGTTCTTTCTAAATACGTATGACAGAGGCATAATTTGAAGAATCCTGTCACTTTTCTGTGACTGACGTGGCTGACTGGGTGGAAATTACCTGATCAAAGTTTTCCTAGGGCTTTTTTTGTAGATAAAATATACCTGGGCAATTTACTACACTTTTAGGGAGCTATGAGTATTGTAACTCTCCTGGTGCAGATTAAAGGAACATGCATAAAATACAGGGATAGGACTTTTGGGAAGAGAATTCTCACCTTTCCCAGGACTGCATGTCTCTCCCATCATTACCCCCTGAACATGTAATAGCCAAACCTTGAGGACTGACTTTTGAAGGACAGTCCTGACCATCTGAGCATGACCCAGCTGCAGACTGCAAGGATACTGATCCCCAGATTGTGGTTGGATTAAGTACCTAACTGATTGTGGCCAACCACAGGAACTGAGATCCGACAATCCCCTTGATTGAGTATGGCAGCAGCCTCTGACTGATCAAAGCCCCCTTTTAAGGACTGGTCCCCTTTGACTTTCAGACATGGCCATTAGCTTAAAGTACATGTAATATGTTTTTCATGTAAGCTGCTGGCACGTGCTGCAGGTTTGACATCAATGTGGCCCATAACCATGCAGTAACATATCCACTCTACACACACACACACACACACACACACACACACACACACACACACACACAC